CAAGATCCCCTGCAGAGACTGCGAGAAACACTACATCGGACAAACAGGAAGGAAACTAACAACAAGAGTACATGAACACCAACTGGCTACAAAAAGACACGACCAATACTCACTCATCTCAATCCACATGGACAAGGAGAACCACGACTTCGACTGGGACAACACCAAGATCCTGGGACAGGCTAGGCAGAGACAAGCACGAGAATTCCTGGAAGCATGGCACTCCACGAAGCCTGCTATTAGTAAACACGTTGAACTCTACCCCATATACATTCCACTACGGAGGAAACCCGGAAGTGAGGCAGTCCGTCGCAACGGACCCCAGAGTTTTTAAAAACCAGGCGGGAAAACACACCGACGCTTCATCGTAGGCTGCACTGAGGATGTTACCAAGCACGGTAACGAAACGTCTGCGGAACAACAAACCAGCTCGGCGAGCCAACCAACCTCAACACCCACAACCCGAGCTACAGATCTACTCCAAAACTCAGTTCTGGTTGTGACAAGGGAGGTTGAGGAATAATTACAGACTGATTGGCGGAACTGTGGAGATACATTTGCTAGTAAAAGCAGAGGAGTGATTTTAAGATGGCTTCTGGTCGATATATAACTTCCCTGCCTATGGGGGAGACACTACAGTGGAGAAATAACATTAGATAACTTGTTAGGATAAAGACAAAATGGGAATCTTGAGCATGGCCACCTACTTGTGATTTTCATGGAACAATGGGCAGCATGCTATTTGCCAAAAGCACCCTACCCTATTTAAAAATGCCTATAATCCCTTGTAATAAAAATAGAACCTTAGTCTATGTGTATTAAAATAAAATCTCCAGATCATGAACAAAGAATAGTATATGATGGATATGTTGAATATGGTACCAGTCAAATGGGCTGTTTTGTCTTGGGTGATGGTGAGTTTCTTGTGCTGTTACAGCTGCATCATCTAGCCAAGTTGAGAGAATTCCAACATAATGGCAGAAAAAGCTCACAGGCCAAACAGCATACTCCTCTTCCTAGGATTTTTTTGGTTTTGTATTCATTTATTGTGGTTGCTTGCATATGATTTTATCCATTTGATATTACTACATTTGAAGTAGTAATGCAACATTAAAAATGTAAAATCATTTCAGAAATAGTTGATAAGATTGGAAAGATAATCTCTCTGCAGAACATAGCTCAAGTGTCGAATTTTTTGTCCTAAAACACTATTGGAACAGCCTGCATAGATTGTTCAAGTGGGAAATACGTATTCTGGTGTGGAGAAAAATACACCAGCATATGTTTGATTGCTTAAATTGAGCTTCTGTTTCTGATCTCTGGCATAGTTTTATTCCGTAAGAGAAAAACAGAATTTTGCATTTTAAAGAGTACGTTACTGCATTTAGTACTGCAGTTGAGGTGAATGCCTGCATATTACTCCCTCTGCTTCCAGCACTCTTTGTTGACTGCAGTATGCACTATCCCCAGCTGGCACTGCAGCAACATACTGAGGCTTTTTCAAAGCACCTCCCAAATGCATGACCACCATCATGTCGAAGGACAAGGGCAGCAGGTGCATGGGGCCACTATCACCTCTAAATTGCCCTTCATTTTCACAACATCCTGACTTGGACACATTGCCAGTGCTCCATGATCACTGGGGTTAGAACCTTGGAACTGCCTATCTAATGGCACTGTGGGTGCACTTTCATCACAAGGGGGCTGTAGTAGAATAGTTCAGGGAAGAAGCTATGGTTATCCCTCAGGATCAAGGAAATGCTGCAAGTTAAGATTACTCAGACCAACTCTTGCTGGACAAGTACAGTGTATAGAGGAGCAGAGGAAAGGAATACTTGTCAGATAGAAAACGAATTTGCATCTAAGTGCGTAGAGTAAGGGCATCTGATTTTCTCTTCCACAGCATTGTGTCATCTGAATTTATATTCTCTCAATTGCACTCAGCAAAGTTATATTGAAGGGCTCTAGCTGACAGGAAACAGCTGAGCATCCCTCAGTCCACAAGTTGGGAGTATGACCCACAATGCAGTGTTAGTGAGGGCTGGTTCAAGTTTTTCGAGAGCAAGGAGGAAGATCTAGTCCCTGAGGGTTTCCACTGATTCAGCAATTGGGTTTCCACATTCCAGTGGATCCTGGGTGTGAAAAGGTGCTGAGCACCACGCTTATGGCAGTGACATGCTGCGGTTACTCCATCTGAATGGAGATGATGATGAACAGGGCAGCCTAATAGAAATGTAGGCAGAAGAGGAAATTATTTAGCCCCTTCAGCCTGTTCCTCCTTTTCAGTAAGATCATGGCTGATCTAAAACCTAACTCCATGTATCCACTTTTGTCTCATAGCCCTGAATACCTTTGTTATCTTATTGATCTCAGATTTAAAATTAACAGTTCCCATCTAGCATCAAATGCTATTCATGGAAGAGAAGTCCCAATTTTTTACTACCCTTTTATAAGTTGAAGTATTTCTCACCTATGTCCATTAAAGCATCAATTACAGAATCACAGAATTTTTACTGCACAGAAGGAAGCTATTTGTCCTGCTGCGCCTATGCAGCCTGTTCAAAGGAGTAATTTGCCAAGCTTTGCCCTGTCACTTTCTGCCCATAACCCTGCACATTTTTCTTTATTGGATAACGTTCTTCATATTGTCAATTAAATCCTCCTCCACCGCATTTTCAGGTACTGCCTTCCAGATCCTAACCATTCAGTGCAATTACTGCACTGTAATGAATATGAAAAATTTCCATCTCCATGTGTCTTAATTGTGTCTGATGTGGCACTTTTCCTCTCTTGAGAGCTTAAACAGCTTGCATTTTGGGATGTTTTAACTTCATCATTTTCAATTACAAAACACGGTAGTAGAATCTAACTCCATTCCAGAATGAGCTCTGTTCTAGCATTGGAACAATATAGAGGCCATTTGAGTGTCAATTGTGCATAAACCCATATTCAAACAAATTGAAATGCCCTGTTTATTTTGGCAAATTTGAGGTTCGCTCAACCTATATTTAAGCAGAATCCAATATTTAATTCCCAGCACAAATTCTGAGTCTATCCTGGCTTAACATGCACCCACCTCTGGAGTACATTTTGAGCTGGATTCCAATCTTGCAACGTTGCAGTATAAACAGGGATTTTCAACATTGGCTACCTTTTTTAGTTTTTTCTTAAATCTTGTAGATATAAATGTTCATATAACAGGGCGGCATGGTGGCTCAGGAGCAACAGTCACTGGCCTAATTTCAGTATCAGTAATCACATCAGATTTGTTTTTTTGTTAAATTCGCTTGTGAGCGGTGGGCATCACTGGTTGGGCCAGAATTTATGCCTATCCCTAGTTATCCTTGAGAAGTTGGTGGAGAGCTGCCTTCCTGAGTTGCTGTAGTCTATGTGCTGTAATTGCTTTTGTTTACAGTTTGAGTATATCCCTTGGATAGAGAGGTTTTTGACTTGTTGGAGGCAGAGCATCTTGTGCTCTGTGGGAGTAGGAAAGACAGCATAGCTCGAAGTTTAGAAGTATCTTTCACACCCTTGGAGTATCCCTAAGTGCTGTACTTTTGAAGTGAGGTCTTCATTCTAATACAGGAAACAAAGCAGCCAATCTGCATGCAGCAGAAATCCACTATCAGCATCTTAATGTAGTTGTCTTGGTGATGTTAATTTAAATATTTCCTGGGACATTATGGAGAACTACCTTGTCCTTTTACACCCAATTCAGACAGCTCAACTAATGTCGCACCCAAAGTCTGCCTCTTTGACAGTGCAATACCTTGTACTGTGCTGTTGGTGTCAGGTAGTGGAACTAAACCTTCTAACGTGGGCTGTGTGTTATCAGCTGAACCACAGCTGAAATCTAAAATAAGAGTTGGTGGAGGGGGGTGCTCAATGATCATGAGAAATATTAGAAGGCAGCCATTTTGGGCAGTTTGTGCACCTCCTAATAGATGTTTGTTGGTTAATGTTTATAAAGAGCAACTGAAATCAAAAGTCTTTCTTTCCTTGACTGTGCTTGGTTATGTAAAAGGGTTGATATACCTTCTTCCATCTACAAAAGGCTGCTTTTCTGTTTACCCAAATCCTAGGTTGTGATCTGGGACCTGCTGGAAAATAAATTAGGAAGTGACAATGATAAGCCAGTACAGTGCTGCTTTCCCAAAGCCAGCCCAGAAATGATAAAGTGCCTGTCGAGTAGTGTTGATGGAAGCCCTAGGAGCAGCAGTCACTGGTCTTGGAAATGTACGTTGCGCAAGTAGTTCAGTGGGGTTTAAATAACACTGAAGACCAGATAGAGGTCTTTTAAGATCAGGAAGGTTTTCAATAGGGTGGACTTGGGAAAGATGTTTTAATTTGTGGGAGAGACCAAAACTGGGAGTCATAAATGTAATGGGCCAATTGTTGCAAATGCTAGAAATTTGA